AACAGCAACACCGAGCTATCTCTTCTCTGCGAATCTCTCAAGAAATGCCTAGAAAAAGCTGATCTTGGAGAAACCCTAGTTCGTGAAACTTTGTCCGGCTTCAAGGAGGAAAGAGGAGAGAAAGGGATTCTCAGTAAAACTCTCCAGAATATCAGGAGTTTCAAAGATTTCTCCAGCGACGACCCATTCGCAGGAGAATTCACCAAACTCTTCAAGAGCTGCCACGGCGATCTCGTCAAGGTGATCGGAAAACTGACCCAGACGACGAAGAAGCTCAACAGGAAACTCCGGAGAATAAGCCTGCGCCGGAGAGTTTCGATCACGCTGTTAATCGCGGCCGTCGCCACCGTGGTCATCTCCGCAGTCGTGATCGGTGTAACGGTGGCTCCGCCGGTGTTTGCGGCGTTGGGTGCGGTCGTGTCGTTCGTGCCGATGGGTCCTCTGGGTCTCTTCATCTCCTCCGTGTGGAAGAAATCGAGGGACGCTCTGAAACGCCAAAAGGCAGCGATTGATTCGATAGAAAGAGGGACATTTCTTGCTTTGAGTGAAGTGGCGAAAATCAAGGTGTTGGTGAATCAATTTGAGGAAGTGATGAAGTCGATGGAGGAATCGCTGTTGAAATTGGAAGTGGGAGAGGTGGAGAAGGAGATCCTCACGTACAGAAACGTCATCAGCGTTCTGCGACACGAAGGCCAGCGGTGCAATCAGGACGCGCGTTTGAGCCGAGACGTTGCTCGAGACAGGATTACCAAATGTCTCTGTGACGAATGAATTTTTTGTTAGCCGATGGACATATCACATACTTGTACATACTTTTGCTTTCTTTCTTTTCTTACTTCACAAGTGTAAATAAACATATCATTCGTTCATTCATTTTCACACCTTTGAAATTGATTTCAAAGGTTCTGCCTTTTTCATTTTTCTCAGTAGGGGTGGGCACGGGTCGGGTACCCTCCAATTTTTAGAAAACCCTGTCTCGTCTCCATTACCACGAGTTTTACAAAAATATTATCTCAGTCTTGGCTTCATAAAATCCGGGTACTTGTAGCTCGGGTTTAATGAGATTCTCGGTCTTGTACTCGCGGGTATCCAGATCCATACGATTTATAAAATTTTGAACTATAAAATGATAGATATAGAAAATACAAATGAGAGAGGTCAAAGTATAAAGAGAAAAATTCACGATGAAGAGAGATGACTAAAATTTTGAGAGAGAGATGAATGGTTGATTCGGTTACATATAATTAGATTTGGAATGATGAAATTTTTGTATAGAAAGGTTTAGAACATAAAAAAATTTAACTAAAATAAAAGTATTTTAATAAATAATAAGAATAATTTAGACAAAAATGTTATAGATATAAAGTATATTTTAGATTTTTAACAAATATATCGGGTACCCAGGGGTACCCTTTGTAAAATAATTGAACCCCCACTCGGCCTCGGGGGTCGAAAATTTAGTCTTATTAATACTCAATCTCATCATCGTTAATATTCGGGTACCCTTTATTCGGGTACTTGTTAAGTCGGGTACCTCCAAACCCCCGGGTTACGGGTTAAAACGCATACCTCTATTTCTCAGATATTAGATTTCTATATGTTTGCATGCCGAGGAAGTGGTGAGAAAACTCACCAAATATAGGTGATCAATTTAATTTTGCTTCTAATCTTTTTTTTTTGTCTTAGTGTTTCATTTTATGTTCCTAATTTAGTTTAGAGTTGAATTGATGTGGGGAGAGTCATTAACGTTTCTTGTAAAGGATATAAACCTTATTGTTCAAGACTCTCTTCTTTTGCTCAGATATGTTGTCTGAATTCTCTGGATGAGTTCTACTTTACAGTCTTGATCTTGTGAATGATTTAGAATGTTCTTTAGTAAAAAATAACAATTTACGTAGCCGAAATGGACATGAAATTGTGTATGGATGCCCTTGGATACAGTACGCCTTGCCGCCTTGGGGGTGAGGGATGTTGTTCTCTTAAATGTGTTTCAATGCTATGAATTCAAGAGCCACATAAATATTCTGCAGGGTTCTGGATATTTTAGAAAGACTTATAATAGTATTTTTATTACTACAACACACACAAATACTTACAGATACACAACATATGTAGAACCTTAAATGACTGTTGTTGCAGTTATTTGTTCAGACATATCTTGAGTAACTTGAACCCGTCTTGGTTCCCTTCATACTCCTCTTTGATTCATGTTTCTGAGGAACTCAAATCTTCCGAGATGCAATCCTTGTGTGAATATATCTGTCATTTGTTCTTCAGTTTCAGTAAACCAATTGAATCTCTTCATATTGTTGCACCTCCCTCAGTTGATGTGATGATACTTGATCTTAAAGTGTTATGTTCTCCCATGGAACACTGGAATTTTTCGGAGACTGTAATTGTAGATTTGATTATCTACAAACACTTTGCATTTCAAACCGAGGTTTTTCACAAGTTTCCTGAGCCATAAAACTTGTTTTGCTGCTGGCAACATATACAGTTCCTGATGTACTCTTCATGTCAATCACTGTCTGAAAATCCTATTAACTCATATTCTTCATTCTTCTTGGATAGAATGCCATGTGGGGGAGTTTCATTAAATACCTTAGTATTCTCTTTGCTGTTAAAATAACAAGACAATGGATTTTATCAAAAAAAAACAAGACAATGGATTTTTACACCAAAGAGAATGTCAGGTACATGAGACAGCCAATGATTCTCCCTATACATCTTCTCATTTGTAGTTTCAGATTCTGAAAACTTGTGCAGTCTTTCATTGGGGTCGAAGGTTGTAGAAAAACAACATTGCATCTTTGGTAGATGTCTTCAAGTGATCTTGTCCCTGTCAATGGAATGGAGGATCATCAAATCTATCGACAATCTCAGTTTCTTCTGTGGTAAACTGCAGAGGATCAGGAACAGGTTGTTGTTCAGCTTCTGAGTTAACCACTTCTCTGTCATCCCATTTTCATTCTTCACTTTGTTTCAGGTACATATACATATGCCTTCGCAACCAAACTGTAATCGACCAAGATGTCTTCTGTTGCCTTGTTGTCACGTTTGATTCCTAGGATCAATGAGAAACCAAAATATCTTCAGATGGCTTCATAAGGTGTCATCAAACACAAAGATCTTGTAGGCAGCCGATTCTTCTCATGTAGCATACACCTCGACATCTCTGTTATCGACCGATTTCCTCTTTCACTTACCCTGTTTTGTAGGGGATTTCGGAGACAGTAAGTCTCGAGTCTTCCATCTTGATTCTTTCTCTCTCTCTCATCGAATCTCGTCCTATCGGTCGAGCTTTGCCCTCCTGAGTCATCGCCTCATCCCCAAGTACATAAGGGTCGGATAACCAACCATTACAAAAACGATCTTACCTTTTGTATTTGTCTCAGAATACAGAGACATGACAAATATCTATAGCTGGTAAAGATTATTCATGACATACACGAAGGAAGATAATTACATACAATATGTGGTTTTGCCCTTCAACAAAAGTATGCGACTCAACGAGAAAACAAGGGTATTTGCTAAGAATTATGAGGATATTATTATGCTTTCCTCCACGATCTTTATGCAGCATTTGTTAATCTGAAGTGATACATTCAACGAGAATACTTTGCCCACAATTGATATCGAATATATATCTTCACTAGGATATATATATATATATATATATCTCACTAGAAGCTACAATGTACAAAGCTATGTCCAAAGGTGACAAAGATGATGTCTCGTTGAAGTGTCTGCAGGCCCTAAAATTGGAAGGACCCCATATTTTTAATTTATTTTTTATTATAAAAATGTTAAATTTTAATTAAATTATATATAAAAAACATTATCAAAACTCTTCACAAATATAAATTATTTATAAATTAATTTATAGGTATAATAAAATATTTATTTAAAATGCTTCTAAATTATTTACTTTCATTATTTTATTTTTAATTTTATTGATAATAAAATAAATAAATAATTTAAAATTATTATTTTTATCTAAATTTAAATGAAATATAAATACAACAATATTCAATAATAAAAATTATATTAAAAAACTATAAATTTTAATAATTAAATTAATAATTTGTATACGGTCTCAATTTTTTTAGACGGTTCTAAATGTGTGCATACGTGCTTGCGACTCGAAGAATGAAGAAGATGGCTAAAACAGAGTAAACCTCGGTTTCAGGAAGAAGTTTTGCGTTAGATATCATCGTATTGGAAAGAGACCTAATTAACGAGCTCGGGGCAATTTGGCTATTTCGTCGAAGTCGATAATTAGCCTTTAAATTTCTGTTATTGGCTCTAATAGAGAGGGGTTCATCTTCGGAGACAACATCGAAATGTGGACACTTTACAATCTGGTAAAAAATGTATAGTTCACTAAAACTAGACAGATCACATGTGGACACTTTACAATTTCGGAGACAACATCGAAATGTACGGTATCTAGACTCGATATTTTTGGGGCATGTTGATGCTCGTCTTAACAAAAACTCAACCACGGTAATCTCGAGACCGATTTCACAAATCTAACCCCTTTTACCTATATATGATTTTTCTCGGCCGATCTACACACACGCACATATATATAGGTTGTGTTGGGATGTGCATGGAAGGGATAGAGCAGAACCCGATTGTTTACGAGCTAAGGTCGAAGATAACATTTAGATAAAGGAAAGTTTGTGTTGAAGTGATAAATGATAAAACCCGATCATGATACAATGTATAAAGTCTTTACAACTTTTCGGTATATTTTACTTTTCATGATTTGAACGAATGGTTGAAGAATTATACTTGAAGAAGATACAAGAAAGTGAATAATCGAATCAAGATAGCTTGGGAAATTCTCTACCACATTGTCTAAAATTGTATCGACGGAATCATTTTACATTTTTTTATGCAAGAAGAAGTTTCGTCTTTTTTCTGAGTCTCGTCTTTGCTTAGATGCGTTCTTTTTTTTCCGCGTTGTCTAAAGGATCATTACATGGATTTCGTTGTCATGCTTCAAAATTGAGTTCTGTCAATTCGCGAACAAAATGAATCAGAAGAAAAATCGGATTCAAACACACTTCTCACACTGCATGGAACAAGATGAAGATTCTTGATTCAAGATTCGAGATCCGATTTGCCTTGAAACCATTTGTGGTATTCCCCCGAGAAAGTGATTGAAGCCATCAAATTTTTCCAGGAAGTTGGAGATGCTCTTTTAGAAAGCTTTACGTGCAAGTAAAATATTTTCTGACATTGGATAAATTTCATACCATTATTAAAAATAACGTTATTTTCGAGTTCAGTTGTGGTTTCACTGGTACGACAGGACTAATTTGATGCGACAAGCTCTATCGAAGCTAGCAAACCAAGTCTACATCGATGTTGTGGCCACATTCAAGGAGATAGAGATTGATAACTTAAAACGATTTAGCGAGAAGGTCCTCGACCTTATAAAAGATATTGATGTTCTTCTCGCTTCATATGATAATTTCCTTGTCGGGACTTGGCTCGAAAGCTCAAAGAAGCTTGACGTAAACCAAAACGAATGGAAGCATGTTGTGATCAACGAACAGATACTAGAGTGGGTTACTCCTTGCCTCGGGCAGAAACGTACTTCGGTCTCCTCGTGAAAAGCTTATCATAGAAGAAGAAGCGGAAGCTCGAGCTCGAGAGCTAGCGAAGAGGATGGATAGCTCGAGGAGAGATGATGGTCATTTCGAAACATCTATTCCGAAAATATTTCGCTTAATGTTTGAAATAGGGGTGATCATTTTAGT